TCTTACCTAATTCTAATAATCATTTTCTAACAATTTCACACATGAATGAAAATTAATATAACAAACATTGTCGACACTAAAAGAGAGAGAGAGAGTAGAAATCAATACATACGCGATCTCTCATCAGGAGTATTCTTCCCACTCCACTCGATTTTTCAACATAAAGAAATCATTAAAAGTAAACATCACAACTCAGCAGAAAAAAACACTTTTCTATAATAGGGAAGTGTACGAGACTAGGAGCACACGGTTTCATTTCCAACGGCTTTTACATTTCTAAGTCAGTAGTAGACAAGGAGCACACGGTTTAACATATTCGATTTTTTTTGCTTTTGTTGAATATTCTTAACTCTAATAAATGGATGGATTTCTAGTTGGAAACTTGGACTATAAGGGAAAAAGGCATAAGGGAATAAATCGAAATGAAAACAATTGATGGATAAATATTCAAATAGGTGGGCTCAAAAATGTCTTACAAATTAATAGAAACACGAGGATAGAAAAAGGAAATTTTCAAAGATTCACAAGTCGTCTCTGATTTAATTATAATAGACAATATTTTAATTTTCTTTATTTATTTTTTATAGAAATAAAATATGGACAATTCCATTTGTACCGAATTTTTTGTACCGAAATATTACACCCTCTCACATGCATGCGAGGCCCGCATAAATAAAAAATTCTCAAATGTGTGGTCCCTACACCCTGTTGTAAGTGAGCGACTGCAAGTAGCATTATTCATAAAATATTTGTGTACATTTAATGCAGAAATGATCTAATGAGCATCGTGCTCATCTTATCCTAAGCACTGATGAGTTGGCACATTAATTCATTGGTGGATTAGAACTCACAAAATCTTTATCCACCAATGAATGAATGTGCCAACTCATCGGTGCTTAGGATAAGATGAGCACCGGTGCTCATTAGATTATTTCTGACATTTAATGTAGTAGATAACCCTGACAAAGAGCATTTATCGAATCAAGTAATATTTAAGCAATCAATGCNGCGATCTCTCATCAGGAGTATTCTTCCCACTCCACTCGATTTTTCAACATAAAGAAATCATTAAAAGTAAACATCACAACTCAGCAGAAAAAAAACACTTTTCTATAATAGGGAAGTGTACGAGACTGAGACTGAGACTGAGACTGAGACTAGGACTAGGAGCACACGGTTTCATTTCCAACGGCTTTTACATTTCTAATTCAGTAGGAGACAAGGAGCACACGGTTTAATATATTCGATTTTTTTTGCTTTTGTTGAATATTCTTAAGTCTAATAAATGTATGGATTTCTAGCTGGAAACTTGGACTATAAGGGCATAAATCGAAATGAAAACAATTGATGGATAAATATTCAAAAAGGTGGAGGACTCAAAAATGTCTCTTACAAATTAATAGAAACACGAGGATAGACAAAGGAAATTTTCAAAGATTCACAAGTCGTCTCTGATTTAATTATAATAGACAATATTTTAATTTTCTTTATTTATTTTTTATAGAAATAAAATATGGACAATTTCATTTGTATCGAAATGTTACACCCTCTCACATGCATGCGGGGCCCGCATAAATAAAAAGTTCTCAAATGTGTGGTCCCTACACCCTATTGTGAGTGAGCGACTGCAAGTAGCATTATTCATAAAATATTTGTGTACATTTAATGTAGTAGATAATCCTAACAAAGAGCATTTATCGAATCAAGTAATATTTAAGCAATCAATGCAAATAAGAAAATTAAATAGTAAAGATTGATTGAGTTAACACTCTCTCATATAAAATATGGACTTTAGAGGGATAATGATGGAGGAGACGATTCAAAGAGATAACATGATTATTCTCAATTATTTGATGGTAATGGACGAAATGATAGCCAAACGATAGGAATCTTAAATTTTTTATCTATTTTCTAAAACTTGTGATCAAAAGGCGACAAATTGAAGAATAATCATCAATAGAATCAATACAACAAGAACACGATTTTCTATTAAAATAATTTGTCAAAATCGAAGAAAAACGAGTATATATTCAACACCTACTTGAATTTTTTTTTTTTTTTTAACAAAGAGGGAAAAATTGTTTTGAAACATGCTTTGATGACCATTCAATTCAAATAAAATCAATTCCATTTTGTCCACGAGTATCGAATATGCTTTATACCTATATGGGTTAAATTAAGTCCCACTTGGTCCATTTTATCTCTCTTCTTATCAACCACACATTCTCCATTACACGTAAATTCCAAAAATTTTTATCTTTTTGAACCACACATTATTTTAAAAAAACATTATTTCAAAAATTATAATCTCAAATAATAAGAGGCAAAGATGACTAAATTTACTTTTGGATTTGGTATAAATAATTTTTGGATTTGAAAGGACATGATCAAATGAAAAAAAAAATATGGACATATTTCCTTAATATTTTGATTGAAAATATTTAAAATTTCACATATTTTTCATGAAATTATTCTAAGTAGGGGCGGACCTGGGGTCCTACGTGCCCCCAAGTTTTGAGAATTTTTTTTTTAATATAGAGTCTTGTTTGATATCGATTGAAATTTAAATTTAAATTTAAATCAAAGTTAACAATTAATTTTAATAACATATTTCATGTAATCCATAACTGTTTTAATTTTTATCAAAATTTACTAAAAAATTGATTATAATATCCACCAAATAAGAGTAAAATCACAATAAATTTGAATTTTTCTCTTACTCTCTTTTACTATTTTCTCCACGCCTTTTAACAAAATCTTAACCCTTCTATTTTTTTAAAATTTGTATATAATTTCTCTACAAATTATCACATTCACTACAATTCTTCACTTTCCAATCAAATTTTCAAGTAATTAGAACCTAAATTTGCATTTTCTCCTATCAAACTGTGTATATAGAATGTGTCTGAACTTATTATATACAATTTGACTTATATTTAACGAATTGTGTTTATTTGATTAATTATTAGTATTTAATATTAGTTATATATTTTTTCTTTTCGATTACTTGAATTGATTATTTGTATCAAATACATTATAAGATTTTTAAACGTAAGTATTTATTTTCTTGTGATGAACAAAACATTAATAAAATGACTCTTCGAAATCAAATGGATGAAAATAATTAGCAAAATATTAATGAAGAAATGCTTGTTAAATGTAAATTTGCATTGTTTCAAATCAAGTACGAATCATTCAAAAATCAAGAACAAAATATTCGATTTGTACAGAGTTTGATTGTGCCCCATAACCTAAAATGTTTGCGCCAGCCCCTGATTCTAGGGTTGGCCAATAGATCTTGAATTGGTTCTACAAAAAGATATGTAGTTTAAATCGAAATTCTTTTTCGTTCATTTTGCAAATATTTTTATCAAACTTTTCGAGAGGTAAATAAATTTTTTTATGCTCTCGTAACGAATTTCTTGGACGAAAATATCAAAAAATAAGATATGCAAATTAACAAAAGGTTGAAATAAAAAATATGAAGAAAAAAAATTGAATATAAATGTAAAAATAAGCAAACATAGTTTATTGCAGTTAAAATGTGATATGAATAATTAATAATAATATTAATAATAATAAAACAAAGAAATTATAGTATGTACATAATTACCCATTATTTAACCTTTGAATGGTAACAGGAGCAGACACAGACCTTAAAAGTTAGGGGGATACAATCGAATTTTAAAAGAAGTTGAAAGAAATTTTACAACCGAAAATTTATATCTAAAAAAATCATACTACATGTAATTTTACATTCGAAAATTTACATTGAATATGACTTTTTCGGATGTAAAATTTCGAAATTTTTAATGTCATATTTCATATAAAATTTCCTAATAAAATGACGAAAATAATAAATGTTAATGAAATAATTGAATTTAAAAAAAAATGCTAGTTAGACGTCTTTTTTTTAGGATTCACGTTTAACGTATTTTTAACTATTTTCTATATCTGTTTGGACTATTCCATATGCCCATAATGTAATTCTCGAAATAAGTTTTGAGATGATATAAACAATTTATAGATTCGATTAACGTACGATCGTTAAAATTAGCATTTTATCGAAATTCAAATTTATTGTGATTTTGCTCCTGTTTGGTGAAAATTAAGCCCTTGTTTGTCAACCATTAATCTAAAACATTGTTTGCTACAGTAAAATTCTCCATCACACATTCACTCAATAAAATATTCTACACATAAACCAATAAACTTACTTAAATTTCAACCTCACATTTTCCAAAAAATACTATTCATTACACCATTTTCAACCTAATAATGGTAGACAAACAGGCTCTAAAATCAAATTTTTAGTAAATTTTGATAAAAGTTAAAACAGTTATGGATTCCATGAAATATGTTATTAAAATTAATTGTTAACTTTGATTTAAATTAAAATTTAGATTTCAATTTTGATACCAAACATGATTTTATATATAAAAAAAAAATCTCAAAATTTTGTTTGGCCGCCCATGAATGGTAGAAAATAAAATTTTTAATTTTAATATAAGTGAATGTTAACAATTAATTTTAAGCAATATTTTATGAAATCCACAATTTTTCAACTACACAATTCATTAACATTTATCGAAAGATACTAAAAAATTGATTTTGATTCCTTGGAAACAGGAAGTTAACTGAGAAACTATGAAAATCCAACCATAATGTTCATTTTTCTTGTGCAATCAAATCAAGAATATATTATAGAATTAATCTGGATGTACCAAACATAGTAGAAACTGGATTCTATCCAATGATTCGACGCAAAATAAACAAAAATTAAAATATTCAAGGAAAGAAAAATTACTAATCATCTTTCACATCAAAATTTGTTCAGAAACATGTTTATTTGCCACTTAAAAAAAAAAAAAGACAGACTCACATAAATATGTACCCAAATTCGAATAGGAAAAATAGCAGCAGAGGTCTCAACATTTGACCTATATTCAACTTTGATCCCCAAATATTATCTATCCAACAAAAAAAACCTTAACAAGGTGTCATCTATCAAAACTTCCTGTACAAACAAAGGGCAACAATGGAGCCGGTTCGTAACAAAACGGCGCCGCTGGATGCTGCCACTTTTTCATCACCATCACTGGCTTCTCTGCCGCTACAGGCTCCTTACTATTACTATTAGAACCGGTCTTGATCTCAGCCGGAAAACTGTTGGACGTCGGTGATTCAACCAACGGGGATAAGAGAGGTATCGCCACGTTCCAATCCGTCACTGGATTTATCTGAATCGATGCCGGAGCCCTTTTCTGCAACCTTGTCGGCTGCTTCTGCCGCCGCCGGTTATCCAAATTCTCTGCCATATTTTTTATGTGGGTTTTTTTTTTAATTTTGGAGAAGAAAAATGTAAATTTATTAGGTATGAAAGGGGAGAATTGAAGAAATAGGGTTAAAAGAGTGTGGTATAAATAAGGGGCGTGTGGGTTGCACGTTGGTTCAATTGCTTTGACCGAACAAAATCTGATGCCAATTTAACGTATCCCTGTATACAGCTAAGTTTCCGTTACACAAGGACCCAGATCTGAAACGGACGTTACTTCTCCGTTATCCAAGTAATCAGTGATCAATTATTTTTTTTGGATTAATTCAGCGGCTGAGATTTGATAACGTGGCGACATCGGATCCTCTAATAAATAAAGGTGTATATTGAATGCATCTTGGTTGAGATTTGATTCTTATCAATAATTTGTCGTTTGTTTTCATTTCATTTCAGTGTTACAAAAATCTCAAGAGGTCAATTTAATCGAAAAAATAGATCTCAAATTCAATCAAATATATACAAGTTTAAAATAAATTTAATCGATCGATCTTTAAAGTCAAAACTAACTTGTTTACCCTCAAAGTATATTGATTCATTTTTAGCATGGAATGAGCAATCTTCTGTCATGTATTTAACTTCTTAAATCAAATTTAGCCTCGTATTTAAAAAGGTAAACCCCATGTCTTGAATAAACAACACCAAAATCCCTTAATATTCATAAATTTACTCTCTTCAAATTATCAGTTTCATAATATTCTTCTTCAGCTCTTCGAGGTCGAAGCAATCGTCACAGGATTGCTTCATCGTCTGTTATTCTTAGTTATGCTCCAAGTTTTGAAATTAGATGTGGCCTTAAAGAAAGGTTCATTTCGTTAGGGAGTAAAATGAATTAATTTAGATATTTTAGGGGTTAAAAGTGATACTTTTGGAAAGTTGAATGGCTAGTAGTGCAATTAGCAGTCAAGGTTAATGTTGTCATTTTCAGATCACTGGATACGGACAGTCAAATATACTAAAGTATGTGTTGAAGCAATTTTGACAAAGAATATGTGATAAGATTTGTGCACACGTAAAACGAGAGGACACAAATGAAAGATTCAATTAGCATACTTTTTTGTTCTAGAATTGGACTTTATAAAAGTCATGGGCTGTCTAATAATTTTTTACCTCACGATAGGTGATCTTGTGTGGCGGTTGTTAATGTCACTTTTTGAAAGAGATATAATCGAGATAGTGTTTACAGTACTTAAAAAGTTATTTTTCTTTCAAAAATTAAGTTAAAATATTACTTCCTAATATTTTGGGATTCGACAACGTTCTATTGCTTACATTCTTGGACTTGTTCATATCGATTTTCTAGTGCCTCATGCATTTTAATGACAAGTGAAAAATAGTAAATACAAACACAAAGAAATGTGCAACAAAGATGTTTGAGTGGACGTAGTAATGTAACATTCACATTCGACTCTAAATTTATTGAAAGCTACATTTAATTAGTTTTTTTGTTATTATCTTGAAATTAGTACAAATCTTTCATCATATAGCACCATCCACCATCCTTATATCTAACTAAATATAAAAGAGTCAGTTATGTGTTACTGTTCACAAGCCGGATTTCTGGTCGGCTTAACCATTTTGGATTGAGCCGAGTTAGCTGAGTTGCTTAGGAGGTGAGTGGGTTTTTAAACGACGTCATTTCGTGTTCGTTTTCCTCTTTTAGTCATTCGGTAGCTTTGTTTTTTCTCTTTCTTTCTAGATCTGGTTATGGAGAATTGACTACAAATTGTGGGAAATCTATTCTCTTTTTCGAGTAAGCTTCAAATTTTGGCGACTTGTTCTTTCTCTCAGCAAATACAAGTAAACGCGTGGCTTTTGAGTTGGAATTTTTTCCATCCAAAATGTTGTTCTTAAAATCAAACGCATTTCATATGAGTTCTCTAGCAATGGCTGCAAAAACCCTAGAGGCCAATGTTGGGGGCTTGATTGATGGGGGTCCGACAATGGGTTATGGTAGTGAGCCGAGTTCGGAGGGGAAGGGGAGATCGAGGGCTGGGCAACGTTCGAATCAGTGAAACAAGAGGCAAATCGATTTGGTGGGATGGGTTTTTGGAAACTCACCTCTCATAAGCCCTTTGCACATGCCCCAAAGGTTTCCGCCTCTCTCTCTCTCTCTCACACACACACACAACCAAAAACACCCATACTGAGAGGGGTTACAATTTTGATTGTTGTCTTTAATTGAATTTAGCACTTAACTTAGGGATGCATTCCAATAATGGCAATATTGTTTTCATGTTTACTTCTTCATTAATTGTATTTATAATGATTTATGTGCTTCTTATATAAATGATCTTACTATTTTACTGCAATAGATATAATTTTATCTTTTGCTTTGTTTGAGTATTTCTTTGTTTTTTTTTTTTCCGTGATGATGTGGGAGGTTGCTAGGATTTCATCAATTTACTGAGTTTTTATGGTTAACATGGTTGATAATTATTTTTGACCCTTAAAATAAATATTTTGGATGAAAATCGTCTTTATAGATCAGATGTATTAAAATTAATAGATGGTTGATGATAAAAAAAAATTTAGAAGAAAGTTCAGAACATAAGAATAAAAGTAAGAAAAGTTTTGAGGATATTCATTGTAATTCGAATGTGGTGTAGTTAACAATAAATTGTGGTGTGAATATATTTAACCTTTAATTAATCACCAAAAAAAAAAATGATATGCATCATCAAAAGCTGATGAAAATCATCTGATGATAGTAAATTTTACTAAAAACCAAAATCTTTTTCAAAAAATACCATTACATAGATACTTTTCATTACTGAAAATATGTTCATTTTGCATTCTCTTTGTTGTATCACTACCAAGATTAAGGACCCAATCCCCTAAATAACCCCCTACATCCAAAATCAAAAAACGTTTAAACAACAAAACAAAAAACTCAAGAAGGTGTCATTTTCAAAGATTATGTCCAATAACAACAAAAACCAACTGCATGTGCATTTTCGCACGAATAATGTGAACCCAGGACCATCCCTCCGCTACCTAAAACTTGAAGTATAAAATCCAATTCAGTTGTCTAAATATATTTCTCTAAAGTGTCCTAAAACATTAAATAAATTCATGAACAACTTTTTACATACACTAACAGGGGCCTGGACTCGCTGAACATTACTCTCTTCAACAAGAATTTCTATGGTTTTGATGCAAAGTATTTGAAGAGAAAAAGAAAGAAAAGAAGCAATTTAACATGATGAGATGATGGCGCCTATGAAAAATGCAAAGTTAGCAGGCCACTTTTTTAGCTTTCCTAGTGTGAGGAAACTTGAGGAGAGAGTTCGACAAAATAAATATCTAGGGTTTGTGCGTGTCAGGAGCGTTTGTGGGTGAAAACTGAGAAGACAAAGCGTTTGTTTGAGAAATTGCAAGATAATGAAGTTTCATTTCCTATGCATTGAATGATGATATCGGTTAGTGTCAACTTAGGATTTATATCAGCATTTGAGCTTATTGTATGAAGTAACTGATTCATTCAATAAAGCATGTTTGTCTAAGCCTAAAATTTTATTTATTTCTTATTTTAAATAGCTAACTTTTTGAGTCTTTAGATCCAAGAAGAGAAAGAAGTGTGATGGTCAGTTGCTTGAAAAGCAAACGCGTTGTTAAATTAAAACGAATAGCCTCTTTATCCAACTTTTATATTAGCCTCGTTACAAGTTGCTAAAATGCGTATTTTCCACAATTATTAATAAAAATCAGACTTTCTAGCTCCCAAATCTAATTCTATATTTTAAAGATGACGTTTGGGCAATTGATAGATATAACTCAAACTAATTGCCTTGTCACCTTTTAAATAAGTATTTTTTTTTTTCAATTTTTAATGCATTTTAATCTTGATCACTCCTTCAAGAATAGAACACGATAATCCGGCGAATTTGTCAATAGCTTATCAATCTAGAAAAATTGCATCTTCAATATAAATCCAGATGAAGTATTGCATAGATAATTTAGCTTTTTTCTCTTTTAATGATTCAATCTCTTTACAAAATAAAGATTGGAGAAATGAATATATTAATGTCTTCTTTTATTTTGAATAGAGCGGAGAAGCCACTATAAACAAGTTTGTTGAAATATTTCAAAATTTTAACTCTTTAAATTTATAGACACTATCCAAATATTAGAGTATGATCTTTAAAAATAAAAAGTCTTTTGGAGATGTTATAACTATATTCATTTTTTAAAACTCATTTTTAATTATATAATTTTGCATGTAAATTCAAAAAATTTCGTACTTAGAAAGGCACATTCTCCTAGGAGTGAACAAAATAATTAAGCCAAATCATACCAAACCCGAACCAAACTAAACCAAATGGTTC